TCTCTGCGTGTTGTGTGTGGACACCTGTGATTGGGTCTACAAAGTTAACCGAGTGATTAACCGTTTGATGATTGAAACCCAAGACCCTTTGCATTTGCCTGTATGCCGCCCATTCATCAGTATAAACCAAAGAGACTGGTTGTACGTGTCTTTGGATAATGGTCAAAAGAGTACGCGCATCTCGCCTTCTCACAAGCTGTAAATACGGTCGAGCGGGGTCATACTGTGTGTCAAAAAGCCCAAGAACCCATCTCTCTCCTCGAGGTCGACGTCCCCTTTGGAACTGTGCTCAAGAAGAGACAAATTTCATTAAAACGTGTTGAATATATAGAAAAAAATTAAGAAAGACTGTTTCCTAGCAGGTGCAGGACATAAGTGGATATTATAAACTGAAATACGGTTGATGTAATGTTTCGTATGTATTTTAGTTGATATGTTTTCTGTTGTAAAAAAGACCTGAATGAAATACAATGTATACGAGGCATCGAGGTGAATCTCTTTATGGGCACATTTCTTGATGAAACATTTATTGTTAACATTTTCAAGGTAAAATGCGCACAGTTTTTGGCATTTTGGCTCTAATCTGGCTACAGGTTTTGTCGAAGATTTTGGGAATAATTCGGATGGCGCTATTTTTCTGTTGAAGTCACTACGGTGAGATCGACTTGCTGGGATGGAAGAGAAGAGAATAAAACGTGCTATAGCCATTTGCGAGAAGAAGATAAGGTGCAAATAAGCTTACATTTGTTCAATTTATCTTCAAAGGATAGTGACTAAAACACCACACGAGCACTACGAGTAACATACAAGTACATACGAGTAATTACGAGTCATACGGGCGCACACAGATACATATGAGTAACATAAAAGTAACATACGAATACATGGAGTAACACACAGATAACATACGGTCAAATGTGGGTAATACGCATGAAATCTGCTAAGTAAAATACAAGAAATTGGACTTTTAACGGAAATAGTTCATTTGTTTTTCACTGCTCGGTATGGAGAGAAATTAGCATTTGAGGGTGTGTGTGTCTGCGTGTGTGATGGGGGTGGTGGGGGGCTGGGAAGAGACCTTCCTTAATGCTTCCTATGAGCCTATTACTACATAAAATAGCGATAACAAAACTAATAATAAATTCAAATACTATTCAATCCTGTAGGCTGAACAACAACGCTGATTTCCTACGGTTACCACCCTCCCGCGGTAATACCAGGGACAAGATCGGCCCTTGTGACCCTAGGGTGGAAAATGTTTGAAGTTTTCAGTTTTTTCCGTTGGTAGGGGGTTGGGCAACTTCAAATAACTACCCGCACAAAGACTCCTGGGGCGAAACGAGATATGTATTATTTTATTATTTTTTATTATTATTTCATTATTTCTCATTCTTTTATTTTCATTGCATTTCTTATTATTAATTTATGTTATTGGTATTTTATGCAGCAATAGGCTCACACGAAGCACACGAAAACACACCCTCAAATGCTAATTTCTCCCCACACTACCCCGTTTTGTACAAATGATATCATTTGCACATTTATCGCGATTGACTACCTAAATTACCCCTGACCTGCTCCCGTACTGGTCTCGTAGCTCAGTCGGTAGATCTAATTCGGAGGTCGTGGCTTCAATCCCCACTTGGTCAAATTTTCTTTGCCCCGTGAGGACTCCCAAATTTCCTTTAAAAGGGTAGTAACCCAGGGGATTTATTGTATCGGCAGTGTTGCCTTCTTCCAGCACCCAAACATTTATTAAAAATATATTATAATTTATAGTACAGGTGCTTCGCGGTTCACATTCTATATCTATATCATTTGAACCTATGAATACACCGAGCAGTAAAAACAAATCGAAGGTTTTCGAGAAAGGTCCAATTTCTCGTATTTTACTTTTGTAGGTTTCCTGCGCATTACCCACATTTGACCGTATGTTACCTGTGTGTTACTCGTATATATTCGTAGGTTACTTGTATGTAAAAAAAATGTAACTCGTATGTATCTGTATGTACCCATATCTGACTCGTATGTACTCGCACTTCTATGTTACTCGTATGTAACCCGTATGTATCTGTTTGTACCCGTGTGTCACTCGTATATACTCGTATGTACACGCAGGTACTTGTATGTTACTGTTACGTTACTCGTGTTACTCTTGTGGTGTTTTGGTCACCTTTCAAGGTAACCTTGATACCTGGGCTCATGTTGTGTACCTACCTTGGACTTGTAGTTAAACTTTGATTCATCGATTTGTATAATTACGCCTGGACCGCCTAACTGCGGGATTGGGTGGCGTAGTAGTGCTTCCCATGCAACCTCCCGGCACTTTCGCGCAAACTTGACCAAAACTTTCCGTGATGCTATCCCTTCGATCTCCATTACTTTCAAGGAATCGCTTTGTGCCCATTTCCAAAGAAAGTGCATATGTCTTCCTAAAGAAATTCTGCTTCCAGCGAAATATGAATTTCCTCTCACTGAGGAAGCACGTCGACATCGGAGACATCTCCTGTTGAAGTTTTCAAAATACATTTTTGACGGAAGTTTTTCATATTTTACAAACATATATCTTTTGGAAGGAAGTTTTTCATATTTTCTAAACATATATATTTTTGACGGAAGTTTTTCATATTTTCTAAACATTTAGCAGGCAAAATTTGGGTTAAATACTCACCAAATGTATCCATCAACATTATGTAGGTGGCGAGTGAGCCGCATCGCCCGCCGACAATTCACACAGTTGAAGCTTCTTTTCAAAAGTCTCCTCCTTTGTAACCAGTTTATTATACGGAGTTTGTTTCCTCTATTAATTCCAAATACGAGGGGTCCAAGTTCATCACGAAAAAAATTGGGCATTCCAGGTTGCGTTACTTACACTTGACGCGAATGGCAAAAGTCCTTGAAAGATCGTAGTTTGCTCCCGGAAAGAGCGCTTGCTACTGAGAAGCAGCAGAAAAGACATCTGGAATTTGTCATATAGTTCTTACATGATACCTTATTACATAAAATTTCCGCGAAACGTTAAATTCGCGATTTCTTTTGAAATCGCGAGAGTGAAGTGACGCGAAAAATAAGTGTCGCGAACGTATCATGACACGAAAAATTACGTGAAACAGTATGTCAATAATCAAGAAAGAAATAACAAGTTTATTTACACCAGGCAAGTGAATAGTGGAGTTAGCTCTGAAGATGTACCCTCCCCGGGAGCCGAACTATGAATAACAGGTCATCAGGCTCTTTTAGGAGAAAATGACCATTTATGAAACGAAAGAAAACTAAGTGAAACGAAAACAATTTACAAAGCGAAACAAAATTGACTGAAAGGATTCGGGATATTCTAAGTAAACGAATCAAAAATGTATTTACATAACTGTGTCATCGAGTCGGCGTATGGTCTACAAACCATTCTTTAGCGGCATTTATTTAATCTCTCAAACTTTGTGGTTAATTTGGAGTTTACCGCAAGAACCTTTTCTATCGGGGTTAGGTATTAGTCGTGGGTCGTAGGTACAAAGTTCTCGATTAAGTTTTCATCCGAAAAGAGTTTAGATCTTTCTAACTTTGGAAAAGCCGCGCACGAGCATTTTGGCAAATTTTTTTGGCACAAATCGAATCAATCTAGCTTGAGATTTATTCGTATGGAGGAAGGAAGGAAGGAAGGTGAAACATGAATTGCGTCTTTACGGTACCTAGTGATTTTCTCAGTTTTCAGGCCTCGTTGCAGTTCCTGTTATGCATTGATAACACCTGCCAATAGAGGGAAAGCGAGAAACCCCATTAGGATTGTAGATGACAAAGCAACATTCTTCTTTTGCGGAAAAGTTGAGTTCACGTGAAGCGTCAAGTGAAGTGTTTCCTTTTATATTTATCTTACTGTGGGAAGCGGGAAGTTCGCCGTGCCTAAGAGAACCTGGGGAGCGAAAATGGAAAAAGGAAAATTAAGCTTATGGAAAATCTTTGGCACAGACTTCCTCCTCTTCGCCTAAGCTTCATTTTAATTTTCTTTCTGCATTGTTTTATTTAAAAAAAACCCTATCTTTTCTCTGAGAAAAGAATTTCCAAGTCACTTCCCTTGTTGATATAAACGTAATATTTAGGGCAGTAATTGAATTAAAACTTAAAAAAACAAGTACGCTAAGTTGATTGGCATTCGTTTGTTTTAGCCTAAACCTGACCAGAGTCACATACAGATAGCACCACATGGTTTCGTATATAGAAAATAATCTTTTTGGAAAATCCAACCACTACAAATTAGATATCAATGTAAAGGTTATAGAATTTTCTTTTCGATAAAAATTGTTTTGCTTCAACTTTTTTTAAAAGACTGTTACACAAAGGAGGAAAAATGTCATACATGCACAAGCCCTAACTGAAAAAAAACTCCTTGCGCATAAAAAGTGTGAAAAAAAAATTCCTAGAACAAATCACTCAGTCACACCCTTCCTTAATCAAAAGTGAAATGGTCCGCCCCTTGATGCTCACAGTTCATTGATAAGGTCGTGAAGAGCAAAACACCCACGCGCAGGATATAACACCAAAGATCAAAAGAAACTGCCGTGCGTTTTCAGGTCGCTGACCGCTTGAAAACCGGAAATCTTACTTTTTCGATCAAGAGTCGGCATACTTCAATAGGACTACCACAACTTATGCCTCCGAAAAAGTTCACTTTAAGCTGGTCTGTTATCAATTTTAACCAATAAAGAGCTACTTCCACTGGACGTATTTGAGCAGCACACTGGAGGCTGCAAGTCGGCCATTCTCTTTGTGAAGTATTTTTAGTTCTTTTTGTCATTTTGTCATTTTATTTTTTCATAATCGGTATGGCAAAATAAAAACTAATGTAAGCAACAATCTGAAAAAATTTCTGGCAAAGGCAATAGTACTCTGGAAATTGTCGCTTTTAACGACGTTACAGGATGATCTCCAAGAGTGACTTAAGGCGAGTATATATTTCTCTTCAAGCACGGTGGTAATATTATTTGGTACCAGAACTCTCTTTCGTTATGGCTGAGTCGCGAAAGAAGAAGTGTAGGTTATGTGGTTTGGCAGATGGGCATACACTCATCAATTGCCCAAACAGATGCGGCTTTTGCAGCGACTCTATTACGCGATGCCAATGTCAAGATTCTAGTCTAGTACGTGGAGTCATGGACAGTGAAACTCCCAAGAAGAAGAGTGTGGACAAGACGCCGCGTACAAGTAAACGAAATGCGGAATCCGGTGATCTGGACGAATGGTAAGGCATAATGTTTATTCGCTAATTCAAGGTGAAACAATCAAAACAAATATTTTGAAGCAAGCCACCTTCTGATGATGATGATTTAACGTCAAGTTTATTTTAGATTATAACAGACTAAAGAATATATACATCGAAAATAGATCACAAACAAACAAACAAACATGAAACAAAACTAATCAGTTGCATGGGATATCCGTTCAAACCGGCATTTGTGAGTTAACTAGTTTGTTTCATTTGTTTACAGTGTAGAGGAAACCAGTAAAGCCGCCCGCGGGAAGGGAGAGAAGACAAGTTCGACCAAAAAGTTTAAAGACATGAAAAGTGACCTCGAAGCTGCCTGAGAACGGATTCGGCGATCCGACGAACTATACAACAAGATGGAGGCCGAGTATCAAGCTACCATAGCGGCAATGCAAAAACGCATTGAGGAGCTAGAAGGTACGAAAAAAAAATTATCACAAATGTATGTTTCCATCGTTTTTTGCCAATTTTGTGGACTCAAACGGGAATCACCGCGATTGTAGGAGAGAGAAACGCACAGAAATTACCTATGTTCTTCAGGCTAATCTTAATGAAATTTTTTCTCATGTCGAGGACATTGAGTCGACATTGAGTGAAGAATGACGTGCATTAATAATTCGCCCACTTATTTGCATCTCATTGAAAAAGAATGGCGAACATTGATAGGTACCTCAATCTTTAAAACACACACGGACAAATATAAATGACCAAGTATTCGAGAATTTTATCTTACCCTGCTACACGTGTTAATTAATTTAAAACCACACCCACTCAACCTTTATACCTGCACTGTATAATGAACAACATAGGGAGCTCCCGAAGATTTTAACACAATTTCCGATTGCTACAATTTTTTCGGAGGATCGTTTCCAATCGTGTAGTAACTATTTACAATCGATATTTTGGAAATGATAAGGGTTAGGGATTATTTGAGGCGTGGCGTTGTATAAATCTATTGTTGTATGAAGCTTAAGTCAGTCCAGGGATACGATTGCAGTTAAATTAGTATATGTTTTGGCTTTGTAGGGGCGACTTTTCAAGACGGAGACGTTGAGGACGAATTGTGCGAAACCGAAGAGGAGGAGCCAAAGCCAATGGAGCCAAAAAAAGACAAGTGCTCAAAAAATTCTCTTACAATGAGGCGCTTCTTTTGACTGGTCTAGTTCTCTTACACAACCGCCGCGAGTTCTTATGTGATAAGCTTTTTAATTCCATCCTGTCTAATCCCTCGCACAAGCTCTATAGCTTACTACCTCCCAAGAATGAGTGCGAAGTCAATTTAAGGAGTCAGCACTCTTTTACTACACGGCGCCTCCACACCTTTCGTACTCGAAATAGTTTTATCCATCACTATGTCCATAAAGCAATGATGTAATATTGTTTTTCTCTTAATTATATATTTTTGTCTTTTTAATTAGTTCTTCTTAGCCATGTATTTTTTGTAGTATATATTTTATTGTAAATCAAACGTAATTCAGCCTATGGCTGCAAGGTTCTTGATAATAAACTATCTATCTATCTATCAAATTCCCGAGGTTTGTTAGAAATTTGACTGAACACATTGCATCCTTAACTATACTATCGTAGATCGTCAAAGATAACAAAAAATCTAGCAGAAAAGTGACGTAGGCGATGGGGACGATAAAGTTAATACGTCTCTTGCAAATTTTCTGAAAATTCTCCACGAACTATTGCCGGACGACTTTTCTGAACTGCCCAAAAAAAAATACGAGAAACTGTTTGTGAAATGTGATAAGGTTCAGTAACACTTTGGACTTTCTGACTTACTATCGCGCTATACCGCCGGATTGTAAAAAGAGTAAGTATACGACCACGGCTGCTAATTCTAGAAGAAAATGTACATGATAATTTGACAAATATCTGCCAAACTTATCCTTTCGAATAGGTAAAGTTTCAATATTTCATAAATTGGGGAAACGAATGGTAATAAATTCTGAATAAGGAATTTTTCTTTCTAATATTCTAGGAACGGTCCAAGGATCCAATTTACAAGGAATTCATGACAGGTATTTAGGCGTTCTCGCAACAATGAAAGAGAACCAGTGCTCCCTTGCAGAGGCCATGCGACTTTCTGGTGTCCCACGGAACACCCTCAGGGACTTTATAGGCATCTGCGAACTCAGAATCATCGACAAAGAAAAGTACGAGAGAGTGGTCCAATTGGTTAAGGAAAAGACGGGTAAGGTGTCGATGAAATTAATTGAATCGAAATGTAGGGAAGCGCTCAGTGATTATCGCGCCCAATCAAGTAGGTTAAAAACCGAGCAAAAGCTTCTCCCGTTTTACCCAAAGGATGATTTTTATATGGGAAAATAATTAAAAAAAATTAATTAAACTAGTTCATCCATTATCTTACCGTATTTACTCTATGAAGCGCCACGTTTATTCTTTTTTTTTTTTTCGGTGCGGGACGCTCATTAGAGAGCGGAGCTTATTCAACAACCATCATATTTCTGAAAAAAAAAAAAAAAAAAAAAAAAAAGAGATAGCTATAAAGGAAATTATAACCATAGCCTTCTCAAACTGAAAAAGATTATACTATGGTTATGTTCCAATGTAATTAGTTTCCTCAAATAAGTGCCGCCGGCAATATTAGATGCGGCACTCATTCTGGGTGGGGCTCAAACGAGTAAATACGGTGATTTTATTGATTATTTACCACTATAGATTTTTTTTTCCTATTGGTCTCAGTTTTGTTTTTTTTTCTTTCCGGCTATGACCCCTAGAGCGTTTGTTGTTATTAGGTGTAACTCGCTTGAATTCTTCGACGCTGTTACTTTTTGGGTTTTAGGTTAAATAAGATTCTGTGTTTTTGTTTTTTTTATAATATTTTCATCTCCACGGACAGTTTATACTTAGCAATGTGTTAACAGAGTAAAATTTTGGCTAAAAGAAATTGTTGTTAGGATTTAAAGAAAAAGGCCCTTTTAATGTGTGCCAAGAAAATGTTTTAGATCACTAAGTTTTGAAGGAATTTTGGTTGTTGTTACTGTTCTCTAGGCTTTAAATGTAGACCATAATGATAATAGAATGCTATGCAATAAGGTTGGTGCACCTTTTTGGAAAACGAAAAGGAGTAACCAAAAATTACTGCTTTTGGAACGAACTTCGTAGCTGATAGTGAACTGTTGATAGTTATTAATTACACATCCACTTTTATATTGTACAAAATCATAACAAATGATTATCCTGAAATAAAGTTAATGATTGAAAGATGTGTAGCAATGTGAAGCAATTATTATCTTAATCTCCATGATCCTCATTATTTTTAATAGACGGAAATTAGAAAGTTAAATGGGGGAGGGGACTGAGGGGAATTTTCGAGCTGCAAGCATTTTTTTTCCCCCTCATTTTTCCTACAGAGGAAAGTTTTCGGGGAAAACCCCGGCACATCTTTGGAAGGAAAAAAAATTGAAACAAAACTTTAACCGCGCTACTCTCTTGGCGCGTCAGTAGTTCCCTCTCCATCCACTCAAATTGGAGAGCTCAGTTTTACCACTCGAAAAATCTTGCCTTTTTACAAATCAAAGGAAAGAAAGTCAATTAAGCTTTCGCTAAAATGCATGCGATCGAAAACCATTTCCCATTTGAGTTTTGGAATGTAATTTTTTTTTGGATGACAAACTGCAGTTACCAGTATACATCTTGTATTACGGAGGACAGTAAGGAAATTAACCAATGTTTTTTAAAACACTTGCACACAGCCTTTGTTTTGCTCCATAAATCATTTATTTTTCCAGGCTCTCGGTGCGATCTTCGTCGCCGTGTTTATTGTGACGCACAAATCGTGCAGCACCTATAATTGTTAGTGCACCTATAATTCGTGTTTAAACCTCTCGAACGCGGAGTAACCGTTTATGTCCCCCCTTTATTCCACCAGTCCCCCCTCCAAAGAAATGTGAGCGCGCTTTCTTTTCTCTATTCCCAGCCTTCTTGTGACACAAATAGGCCGCTGCGGAGGAGGAGAGAGTGTAAACAGCCATTTCAAGAAAGGTTGTCGTACAAGAGCGTAAAACCGTGCGCTACAATACCAACAGGTTGTATGGGCAACGGTTATTTGCTTTTGTTTGATCGAAGCTCACAGTCTAAGCCGGAAGGAAGGAGAATCCATGAACATGTGTGCTCATGCTATCTCTCTCTATTGCGTTGAAGCAACGAGAACTTCGACCAAGCAGTGGTAATTTACTTTAAAGCCATTTGGTATTGTCGCATACGCTTTTAAGCTTTTGTCGGACAAATATCTCGAAACAGTTGTATCCCTATAAAGTGGATTTACAAAGCTACGGAACCTAATACGATCTATATTTTCAACCGTCACCACCATTTAGTACACAAGCGTTGAAGACTACATCATCGGAAAGTGAAATTTCTTTACTCGCGGTCCAATGGGAACAAACAGGGTTAGAATTGTTTTGACGTTTACTAAAAACACGTGCTTGATATAGAATGAAATAGAAATCAAAACTTTATGAGTGCGGCTGGAAGTATTGCGAGTTCACTCTACCGACGTCCTGTTTGCCGTTATGTCTCAAACTGGAGGTTTTTAACCCTTTAAGAGGCTGTCTCTCTTATTTCCACCCGGTCAATTTTGCGTCAAAAATAATTTTTCCTGAAACTCTGTCAACAGAAAGACTTTACCTAAGAAAGAACTAAATTAGATTTGGTTTGATTCGAAATAATTTTCTGACTGCATTAGGGACCATAATTATTTTCCAGTCCGCAGGGACCGTCGCAACGTCTCGAAAATTGAAAAATAGGCATATTTTGCAACATTGCAAAATATTTGATTCGCATAGTTAATCCACAGAATTTATATCAGATTGTTTAAAAACCTTTCTAGTTTGCCAAGAAAGTTAGAATTTGCCCTCTCAATATATTTAAAAAGGCGAATTTTAGCATATTCTGACCATTAGAAATCGCCATCGGCCGATGGCCGTAAATAACCTTGATTTAGACGTTAAGTTTTGGGATTTGGGACCTGGTTGACGATTCTATCCTACACAGCCGTTAAGTTTAGACCTTCATAGGTAAAAATATGCAAAAACCCCTGTACGTTTTCGATTTTTCAAAAGTTATGACCGTTTGAATCAGCACATGTACGAGCATTCGCGATTTTTTCGCCTACACCAAAATCGAACCACTGGAGCAGATTTCGTCATAAATACAGCTTATCCACTTTGCAGCCCGGCTTCATGGCTCACTTCAGAATTTTTCTAATAACCAAATTAGTGAAATCCATGATAACTTCAACAGATAGCTAGGTATTGCCTTCGAAAAGTAGGCGGCATCCATCGTGATTCGTGGTATCAAAACAAATGTCGGAATTGGCCACATTTCGCGGTGAATCACCCATTTAACATCGCTGCAGAGCTGAATTTTTTCCAAAATCAGAACATAAACTCTCCATGTCTGGAAGGTGAGGGAGAAATGAAGGTTTTAGGCTTCTGAAGTGAAGAAATAATCGCTTAAATTTAGGTCCAGTTCGATGTTATACTGTTCTCACAAAGGTCCGCACAAAAGAGAAGACCGCTGATAGCTTGTGCTGTAAGTTGTGCCCTATGGTTTTGTTTTGTATCCCAATGTAATATTTGGGGAGAAAAATGCTATACTGTCATTGAAAAGGTCATAGACATGCCTACACAGACTCCCCTGTGTGGTTTTACTTTTGCGACGCAAAAGCCTTTTATTAAAGCTTCGCTCTGACGAGAATGTCTTTGAGCGATTTACCTCTTTTGTATGATATAATCGGAGGCGTTTTGTAAATTGTTTTCAGCAGTGGCTGATTTTGGATGAGGTTCCATTCTTGCATTAGTATTTGTTTTAAATTTTTAACTCCTGGGTGGTATGCTGTCACAAAAGGCAATATTTTGCCTTTATTTTTTTTGGTTTGTTTTTTAAGTGTCGACTGCCTTGCGGCAAACGAGACCTCAGATAACGTTTTTTCAATTAGGCTTTTTGGGTAACCACGTGCTTCAAGTCGTGTTTTGAAGTTACACATGGCCTCCTGGAAATTTCTTTCCGAGGAGTTTGTTCTTAGAAGTCAGATAGCTTCTCCTTTAATAAAGCCTTTCTTAACACCTGGCGGGTGGCAAGATGAATAGTTTGTATATTGAAAGGTCTCGGTCGGTTTGTAGTGAGTTTTGACGTCGAGGATAGCTTCGTATAAGATCTTTCAGCTCTGAAAGCTGATTTTCTATTTTGTCTATCCTGTCGACATCAGTATTTACAGTGTTCCTCAAAGGCGAACGTGATCTTTCACGTGTATTTACATTGTATTGTGATCGAGACTTGACAATATTAGCCTTTTCAAATTTGTTCTTGTGACTAACAAGTCTACGCTGATGGAAGCGCAGTAGGGCGCTAACGTATTGTTCTTCGGCGTGACTTTTAATAGCGCTTATTTCCTGTCGAAAGGTTTCGTCAGGCGTGACGTTTGCCTTCGCCTTGTATTGAAGCGACTTAGGGCTAGTCTTTTGTTGTAAGTGTCTCTCCAGTTTTAAAATGGAGGTTTCAGTTTTTTGCTTCTTGAACTGGATAGCGCTGATGGTGTCTTCATGTTTCGTCTTCCTTGGCTGCCGCGTGGATCGGCTATTCCTCGGAAGGTTTTCTTTTTGACGGCTTTCTTTTTGAAGGCGTAGACCTTCGTTGCTGCGTTGTTTGGCTAATTCAGCTTTATGCCTTGGCTCGAGTTGTGATGCTGGAGGGCTATCCTCTGGGTCCGATTCTAGGTTCGGATCAGTATACGTTAATTCCATCTCCTCGTCCAGATTTGGACGGTAGTCTGGCGTTTTTGGTGGCCGCAATGGTGTTTCAAAAGCTGACATCTTTTTCAGGTAAAACTGAAAGTGAAGTATATCGTCTAGCAGGACCGGCGGTTTCGATTCTTAAAGAATCTCTTCAGCTGCTTTGTTAAGTCAGACTGTGTTAATCAGGGACAGGCAGAGAAATTCTCAATTCCAATCCCGCCA